ACAAGTGCAGTATCTGAGAGGGTCAAAGAAAGGGTAAGGATATTTGATAACTCAGACATTTCATTTAAATGTTAGCATGAATAAACACAAAATAGCCAAGCATGGTAAACAAGGTCAATGATCTGAATTCTTTTCAAAAGATGATTTATAAGGTAAACATTGAAAATTACACATAGTATTTTTGCTTAAATTCGCAATCATTATCTTCAACATATTTTTCCAACAGATTTTGGATAAAAAATTTTCAATAGGTGCAGATATCACCAAGAAATAAGAAAAAAGTTAAATTTATTCTCCATAAATTTATCAAATTACTTCCTTTTAAAAACTCACATTATATTTCTAAAACATTACTTCCATTTGCATGAGTCATTAGCTTTCATAAGGAGTGCTTTTATATAATATCTGTAAACCATAAACCATAGCGTTTCTTCATTATTAGCATACACAGGTCCATTAAATCTACTATAAATGGATAGCCTACTGGTTAATAATTTAATTGTAGTTTGAGATTCTTGGTTAGGAACTAGGAAATATTTATGAAGATTTAAAGTATTGGTGTAGACATTTCAGAATAAATCCTTGAGCTATTATAACTTTTTAACCATAAAAAGTATACATTAAAAATCAACTTAGTAAGGCTACTGGTAAAATTGCAATGTTGTATACTGAGTCAAGGAGGGAGAAATGGATATAAAATTATATCTATTTCATTATGACTTTTTGTAGGAATTTCAATTCTAATTATTGACTTTAAAAAGTATTTACTTTATTTAGAGTACTTTTTAATTTCTAGTACTCATATTTTCACAAGAGCTTAAAAATTTAAGTACACACTAATTGTCAAGGTTTTTTTAATTTTTATTTCTATATTTTTGGTAACAAAATAAAACAGTGAAACGTTATATTTTCTTAAATGATCCTTAAAACTACATTTCAGCAAATATGAAATAATTCTCTTTAATTCTGACATTGAGTGCTATTACTTAAAACGATTCTTGTCAAAGTTAGCAGTAATTTTATTCTAATAATTTCTTACTTTATCTTACACTTTAGACATAGCTTAAGAATGCTTAGTCTTCCCACTTAAATGAACGAAACAAAATTTGTAGACATATGATTTAAAATAGGTATGTTTATCATTCAAAAGTCCACAAACGATGAATGCTGGAGAGGCTGTGTAGAAAAGGGAGCCCTCCTACACTGTTGGTGGGAATAGAGTTTGGTGCAGCCACTGTGGAAAACAGTATGGAGAGTCATCAAAAAACTAAAAATAGATTTACCATATGATCCAGCAATCCCACTCTTGGGGATATTTCCTGAGGGATCCTTAATTCAAAAAGACATCTGCACCCAGTGTTCATAGCAGCACTGTTTACAATAGCCAAGACATAGAAGCAGCCCAAATGTCCATCGACAGGTGACTGGATAAAGAAGTTGTGGTATATTTATACAATGGAATACTACTCAGCTGTAAAAAAAGAATAAAATAATGCCATTTGCAGCAACATGGATGGCCCTGGAGAATGTCATTCTAAGTGAAGTAAGCCAGAAAGAGAAAGAAAAATACCATATGATATCACTTATATTGGAATCTAAAAAAAAAAATAGAAAAAAAAAGAACAAATGAACTTATGTATAAAACAGACACAGACTCACAAACATAGAAAGCAAACTTATGGTTA